GCTCCAACCGGTTTTAAAGGGTTAATGAAAATAATATTTTTCATTGTGCTGCTGCTGCTCTGAGGTTGCTTCCTTTTACCAAATACATCCTACAATATTTACACTCACCATCCACTTGTTCAACTGGTCATTAACACAGATCCTATCACACGTTGGCAGCTCAAGATGACCTGCTGACGTTCAGTCTGAGCCCCAGAATGAGGAAGATTTTCCCAGTTTGAGTATTTCAGACGCTGCTAATCTGCTTGGATTTTCCTACCAAGCTGGTTTGAAAGGAAGGAAACAGTAACTCTGGCTTTTTCTGCTGACCTTTCCTCCTGTTGGATGTTTTGGCACGGTTATTGATAGTTATTCAGCTCATTCTAGAACAAACTGGTGCACTTAATATCAGTGTGACGCTGTATAAAGCGATGGAGGCCCTTCGAAGGCCCTGCAGTGAAAGTGAGTTTCACTGCAGGGCCTTCGAAGCCAACAGGACACCCGACAGAGGCCTCTTTGTTTTCTGCGTGTTAATGTACAGCATGTTCTCTACAGCCCTGCATCTCCATTCATGTATATCACAACTATCATGTCTCAAAACATCCGTAATCAGCCGTAATGAGATAACGATTATTCCCAGAACTTTGAGATGTCGAATTTCAGAAATGAGAAGCAAGCATCTGATACTGCCTAAGTAACTTTATGAACTGTAATGAAGTAATGTCCCTTTGGTAAAGAAAACAGTGGGTTTGTAGATATGAAAACTTGGAACGGCCTTTTTCTCGTCGTTCTCTCTCTCATGTCCTTTGTCATCCACAGATTTATTCCCTTTGCCGCACACTTAGCTTCTCTGTTCTCTCTGCAGCGGGACTTAAGTGGAACATCAGAGAGAGAAGAGATCATTAGAGGAGAGGAGAGCGGGACAAAGGGCAGAGCAGAGACAACTAGAGCAGAAAATCTCAAAGTAGGATAAAACAGAGGAGAACCTGACGGAACGAGGCATCAGCAACCGTCAGTCAGTGGGTCATCAAAAGGAAACGACTCAGCAGATGTACAGCAAAAACAAAAACACACTCGCATGAGGAGGTTTTAGATTGATATCTGAGGTTGTTTCAGTTCATCTGTCCAGCTGTGTTTGAGGGGAAAAAATAGAAAAGCTAACAAGGAAACGTGGATTTGCATCTGTGACTCGTACGCATGCAAAACAACTCAGGAAGCTTCACGCACAAGCAAATGCGATTCACTGAAGATCGGGCGGTCGGCGTGAGAGACGAGGAAAAGAGCGAAAAGGTCAGACTGATCGATGTGACAGAAAGGTTTACTCCTCCGTCAGTCACAGGACCTCCAGCGTTCACTGAGCGAGGCCTGCTCCTTTATTGCTATAAGAAAGTGCGCTGCCTCTTTAGCATTTACATTCAGTCTTTCACAACAGTTCCTGCCTCACAAATGTGCTGAGCATGTTTCCTTCCTCAGAAAACATTTTCTAACCTCCATGCTCTACATGGAGAAATAAGCGTCCATCCGACTTTGTTTTTCTAGAGCCTTCTAATAATGCAGTGCATCAGAAACAACAGTAATAATAAGATAATAAGAACACGTTTGGTGCTCGCAGCATAACAGGAACGACACTGATCCATGGAATAATCAAATACCAGCGTATTTGCATAAACCTGCTGTTTTGCTTGCAGGAACTTTATTATTTATGTTATAAAAAGTCAGCTTTTATTTAGAAGGAAGTAAAAATGTTTGGGAAAGAAAAACTGTGTCGAAAGCAAATTTCATCTGATGAATTTTCTACGTTGTAAATAGTCACAGAGTATAAGGTGTGGTTAAGGTTG